CCCATTATAAAATGGGCAAAAGATATGAACAGACACTTCACAAAAGAAGACATCCGAGCAACCAACAAACACATGAAGAAATGCTCAACCTCACTAATCATCAGGGAGATGCAAATCAAAACCACACTGAGATACCACCTAACTCCAGTCAGAATAGCAATTATCAACAACTCAAAAAACAAGAGCTGCTGGAGAGGGTGTGGTGAAAAGGGAACACTTCTGCACTGTTGGTGGGAGTGTAAACTAGTGCAATCTCTGTGGAAAGCAGTGTGGCGATTCCTAAAAGCTCTAAAAATTGACCTTCCATATGACCACACAATCCTCCTACTGGGAATATACCCTGAAGAACTCAAATCACTCTATAAGAAAGATACCTGCACACGTATGTTTATCGCAGCGTTGTTCACAATAGCAATAACCTGGAAACAACCATGCTGCCCATCGAAAGAGGGCTGGATTTTAAAAAATGTGGTACATATATACGATGGAATACTACGCAGACATAAAAAAAGAACAAAATCATGAATTTCGCAGCAACCTGGATGGAACTAGAGTCTATAATACTGAGTGACCTCTCACAGAAACAAAGATTCGAGTATCACATGTTCTCACTCATATAATGAACCTTGAACATCCAATGTAATACTATAAGAAAATGACTGATGGTACTGGAAAACTATGTGGGGGGAGGGGGATGGGATTAACAGTAGTAAATATCTGTCTGGGGATGGGAAGACATCTCTTATCAACAGGGTGCCTGAATGAAATGTAATTGTACACTTAACCCTTAGCTGTACCCCACAAAACCATAATAAAAAATATTGAGTAATAAAAAATAAAAATTAAAAATATATTTTATACTTACCCACATGTCTACTATTGCTTCGTGTGCATTCATATTTTTGTGTGGCACTTTTTTTTTCTTCTCCTAAAGAGCTTGCTTCAACATTTCTTATGTTTTAAAGCTGTTCATAGTGAATTTTCTCGGCTCTTTTGTGTCTGAAAAAGTCTATTTTTTCATTTTTGGAAAGTATAGTCTCACCTGGTTGTATAATTCTAGATTGACAGTTTTTCTGTCACTGCTGTTATTGTCATCCTTATCTTTGTTCCACTATTTTGCAGTATGTCTTTATTTTTCCTGACTTTTTTTATTCCTGAGACAATATTTCACTCTGTCACCCAGACTGGAGTACAATGGCATAGGAACAACTCAACCCAGCCTCAAACTCCTGGGCTCAAATGATCCTCCTTCCTTAGCCTCCTGAGTAGCTGGGAGAAGTTCTACTGCAGATCTGCACCACCATGCCTGGCTAATTTTCCTTTTTTCTTTTTCCTCCTCCTCTTCTTTTTTTTTTTTTTTTTTTATGTTGCCCAGGCTGGTCTCAAACTCTTGGCCTCAAGTGATCCTTCCATCTCATTCTCCCAAAATGTTTGGGATTATAGGCATGAGCCACAGTGCCTATTCTTTTCCTGACTGTTTATAAGGTTTGGGGTTTAGTTTTTTTACCTAATTTTATTAATGATGTTCCCACTGTACTTTTCTTTATAGTTATCCTCCTTGGGTTTTGTTGGAGCTATAGGGTTTCAACACATTTGAAAAGTTTAGCAATTATTTTTAAAAACATTTTTCTGTCCACTTTGTCTTCAGGAACTTTAATTACACATGTAATAGACAGTTGATATTGTCCCACAGGTCTTTTGTTTTTCTTTATTCTTCTTTCTCTCCATGCTTACCTTTGAATCGTTTCTATTACATATCTTCAAATTCATTGCACTTCTGCAGCATCTTCTCTTGTTCACCCCATCCAGTGTACTTTTTTATTTAGGTGTCTTAAATTTTATTTCTAGAAGTTTCATTTGGGTTCCGTTAATATCTTTGGTTTTCTCCTCATTTCTGCATGTGGAGTTTATTTTCAATAGCTGTTTTAACATTCTTGTGTTAATGACATGATTTCTGTCATTGTTGGGTCTTTTTATTGAGTTTTTTTCTGGTGATGGTTCATATTTTCCTAATTCTTTGCATGCCTGGTAGTTTTTTGTTGGATGCTGGATATTGTGAAATTTACAGTATTAGATGGTAGATTTTGTTGTATACCTTTAAAAAGATGTCTGACTTTGTTCTGGCACTTAGTTAAGTTACTTGGAATCTGTCTGTCCCTTTTGAGGTTTGTTTGTTTTTAAGCTTAGTAGGATGGGTACAGAGCATCTTATAATCTAGGGCTAATACAGGCAACTACTATTGTACAATTCCCTCTGAGGATTCCACCTAATGTCCCATGTATTTTTTGAGAGCTTTTCACTCTGACTGGTGGAAGCACAAGCACTTCTCAGCCTTCTGCTATCTCTGTGAGATGTTTGGTCTACTACTTTCTGGCATTTCTTTCCCACAGTTGGTTTCTCCTACTCATACCACAGATCCTTAGCCAAAGACTCCCATGAACTTCTCTGCAGATCGTGTAGCTTATTCTCTGTATAGCTCCTCTCGTCTCTCAGGTGTTATGCCCTGAAAAGTCTAGCTACCTTGGCCTCCCTAAACTTCAATCTTGTCTCTTCAACTCATTGAGAACACTGGGCTCTGTTGTATCCCCTACCTGGTCTACGGGTCTGAAAACTGCCTCCAGGCAGTAAGATGAAGCAGTTATACATGGCTTACCTCATTTTTTTCCCTTCTCTCAGGGCTCGGAGTCCTGTGCTACTACGCGTATATCATTCAGTGTATGACAACTTGTTTCATATATTTTGTGTGATTTCTAGATGCTTAATGTGGAAGAATAAATCTGATCCCTGTTATCCCTTGTTACTAGAATGTTGTTTTTTTTTTTTTTTTGAGTCAAGGTCTTACTCTGTCTCCCAGGCTGGAGGGCAGTGGCACCATCACGGGTCACCACAGCCTGACCTTTTAGGCTCAGGCAAGCCTTCCACTTCAGACTCTTGGGTAGCTGGAACTACACCCAGCTAACTGTTTTACCTTTTGTAGATACAAGATCTTGCTATGTTGCCCAGGCTTGTCTTGAACTCTTGGGCCCAATCAATCTTCCTGCCTTGGATTCCCAAAGTACTAGGATTACCCAGATGTGAGCCACTGCACCTGGCTGTATTATGATTTTTTAAAGTTTCTTCAGAAGAAAAACTCTGCAATTTATATTTTAGGAATGTTAATCTGAAAACACTATGTTTAAGGAGAGAGAGACCTTTGAAAGGAAGATGTACTCATTTTCTTTTCTCTCTTCTTTCTTTAATAAACTTTGTTTTAAAACTTTGAAAAAAAAAGAAAGGAAGATGTACTAGAAGATAATTTTAAATAATGAAAGTATCAGATAGTGAAACATTATATTAAAATGGAGGTAGTAATAGGAATGGAAATGAGGGACAGATCTCAAAATATTTTTGTAAGATAAATGGACGACAGAATTTGGGAACGGCTTGGTGTGTGGGATACAAGTAGGGAAGAAGTCAATGATGACTTTAACAAGATTAGTAGAATAGTGACACAATTAAAAGAGGAGGAATAGAAGCTTATTAAATTATTTTTTTCTTTTAAATTAAATATTATAGGAGATGGTGACAGAAATGTATTCTGGACCTTGTGTAGCAATGGAGATTCAACAGAAAAATTCTACAAAGACATTCCGAGAATTCTGTGGACCTGCTGATCCTGTAAGTTATTGTTTAAAATATGAACCTATATGTTTGTGTTATCAATTAACTAAATACTTAAACGGGTTTGAAAATTTTTACTTTATTCTTTAAAAATATATATAAAAGAGAATATATGAAATTTTCTTCAATATAGTATTTTACATAATTATTTACAAAACAGTGTTTTACATAATAATATTCCAATAAAAAGGTTTTTTTATCAGCCTAGAGGCAATATAGAATGGACAGAAGCATTTATTGTAGCATTTTCTTTTATTGTTTCTTGCTAAATTGTCTAGGTAAGTAAATTTTGCGAGCTTTATAGTAGAAATTATCTAAGATATTATCTTCCTACATAGAAAGGTCATAAATAAAGCTCTTAATGTGAATAATATTATTATGGTGGCCTCTTACTAATACATAAAAAAGTGAGCTTTATGTGAGTCTTAATATTCTCTAGTATGCCTTTCAGTTTACTTTGGGCTTTCTTCCTGTGGACATTTGGTTGTGTGTATGTGTGTGGGGTGGAGAGGGTGTGGTTGAAAAGTAGAAGCAGAATGCAAATGTTAGAGGATGGGTAGGATTATGGGAAATATTCCTGATTTGCAACACTAACTCTAATTTACATTTACTCTGTTTTCTTTATTTTGCTATCATTTATAAATGATTTATTGAAGATGTGCAGCTAATTCAATTTGATTTAATTTAGAACATTTATTGAATACCTTTAGATGTAAGACAGCAAGTCAACAGCATCTATTAACAAATCATCTTATGTGAAAATGCTGCTAGGTTAAGCCCAGTAGGGGATAACAGCACACCTTTGTCAATAGTCTAAGAGTACACACGTAAAGATCTTTTAGAACACTTACAGAACAATGTACAAATAAGGACCACATACTGTTATTTTGGGTAAAATCCAAATGTTAAAGGCGTATATAGTAAAGGAGAAATTAATATGGCCTGAAGGTAATTAAGAAAACTTAGAGGAAGAGAGATGTAAACAGGGGTTTGAAAGATGGATCAGGGCACAAAGAGAATGGGGAAAGCTAATGTATGTATAAAGTCAACAGTGAAGGAGTTTACAAATTTACTATGGTATCAGCAAGATTATTTCCTGGGCGCTTTGTTGGAAAATGCATACTTGCAAACATAAGGAAATATACTTTTTCAGATAGAGGAAATAACAGGAGAATGCTGGTAGAAATTAATGTGGAATGTGTAGCCTGGCTAAAAATTGTAGGTTACCAATATAGTTTGGATCCCATAGTAGAAAATAGGAATTCCTTATATGTAGCTTAGTTTTGACTATACTAAATTCGTGCTCTGATGCAACTAGAGCAAACTAAATTGGAAGCGATTAAAGACAGTGGCTCTAGAAATAGCAAGGAGCAGACCTGATGGCATCAATAAGAAAAGTCAGCAGGATTTCCTTTATGTCTTTTCAGGGAGAATGAAGAACAGATATAAATAATCCATGTGCTTGTGAAAGACTAATTCTTACAATGTGATTCTTTTGTAGAGGACATTGGGAGAAAGGCTGAGTGTTTACTGAAAAGTAATCATAAGATACTTTTTGATTAAGTGAGGTAGCCTCAGTTTTTGCCATTTGAAATTTCTGATTTTGTTTGATGGTCAAGAGGGTTGTTTATTTCATTTTTTTCCTAAGATAATTAAAACTGAGTGATCAATTGACCAAACAAGTAAATTAAGGAAGGGATAAGGGCAACCCCCTTGGGTCCCTTCTTACTCTGGGAGCTTTTCTGTCCTCTTAATAAATCCTGCTTTCTAAAAAAAAAAAAAAAAAGGAAGAGATAAAAACTAGGCCCGAAAAAAAAAGAATGAATTAGTTCATTATTTTGTTCTTTTATTTATCGAATAAATATTTATTGAGCCTGTGCAAGTATTTGTGAATATAAAGATAGAAGCTTTGATGGACTTAGATTATGAATGGACAATTGTACGTGATTAATTTCTGTATGTTGTGCATTATTAGATGTTTGAGCATAGTATGGGAGCCCAGAATTATAGCATTTAGCTCAGCCTGGGGGTGGATGATGCCATGACTTGAATGTGTCCCCTCCCCAAATTTATGTGCTGGAAACTTAATTTTCCAATTCTTATGCTGATAGTTTTTGGAGGTGGAGCCTTTGGGAAGTAATTAGGGTGAAATAAGGTCATCAGGCTGGGTCCCCTAGGGTGTACCTGGTGACTTTATAAGAGGAGGAAGAGAAAACCTGGGCTGACAGGCATGTTCTTGCTCTCTTGCCATGTGATGCCCTCTACCATGTTTTGACACATAAAAAGGGCTTCACCAAATCTTGATGTCATGCTCTTGGACTTCCTAGCCTCCGGAACCATACTAAACACATTTGTTTTCTTTATAAATTACCTTGTATCAGGTAGCCAGTAATAGCAACAGAAGATAAACAAAGATAGGCAACAAAGGCCAGGGAGACTTCTGGAAAAGCATGATATCTGAACTGAATTGTGAGGAATGCATAGGTCTTAGCTTACTGATGAAGGTGGGAAATGATATGATTAAAACAGCAAAACTTTTGGGCTGCAATAAGCCGTTTCTTACTGCTGGAGCTAAAGCACAGGGCAGAGAATGGTAAAGGATAAGGTTATTGGAAAGGAGTTGGGGAGTGAGCAGATGAGTGATCACAGAAGGAAGAGTCCCGAAAATAAAAAAAATGCCAATCCCCTTTTTTAGATATTTATTCAATGAACATTTGCTGGGTGAGTAATATATGCAGGGCCCAGTGCTGGGTCCTATGACTGGGCATAGTAAAGGTGCCCAGAATAAGCTGTCTTTCCTTAAGGTGCTCATAACCTCATGACAGCTCAGTTTGGAGACTCAGGGCCCTGAATCCTTTTATAAGCACAATTGAAATTACTGCAGTATCAGTTTTCCTTTTCATTTTAATTAGTTATAAGCCCTTATAGCATTATAGAAAGTTACACCACAGGGACTTTAAAATTTGAAACTAATTTAACATATAAAATGTTGGCAGTGGTTGTCATAGGTATGTAGAGTTATGATAATATTTTAATTCGACTTCTCTGTATTTTACAGATTTTCTTTAATGTGCTTATATTACTTTTATAGTAAGAAAAATGCTTTCTATCTTATTATATAACCTGAAACTTAATGAACTTTTAAATGAGGAGGCATGTACTTATAGGATCTGAGTCCAGGATCCTGAACTGTAGTCTGTTTCTAAGTTTAGAGCCAGGTTGTCAAGCAGGACTATATGCCTTTGATGGGTGTTGTCAAATCAGAAGAAATATAAAAATGTGCTTTGAGGACAAATTTGTTTTGTTTTGTTAGAGAATCTTGCTCTGTCGCCCAGGTTGAAGAACAGTGGCACAATCATAGCTCACTGTAATCTCAAACTACTGGGTTCAAGTGATCCTCCCATGTTATCATCTGCCAGTAGCTTGAATTACAGGTGTGTACCACCATGACCAGCTAATTTTTAAATTTTGTTTTTATAGAAACAGGGTCTTGTTATGTGGTCTCAAATTCTGGCCTCAAGGCCATCTTCCCCCGTCAGCTTCCCAAAGAGTTGGGATAACAGACGTGAGCCACTACACCCAGTCTCTTAAAAGACAGTAAAATGGCTCTTTCCCTTTGATTCAGACTACTTTTGGTTTATTTGAATCCTTTTCTCCCTCCCTTCTTTTCTCCTTTTCTCCCCCTCTCCAACAAATAGGTATTGAATGTTTACTACATGGCAGTCAGTATACCATAGAAGCTACTGAGTTTATATTAATGGTCAAACAAGTAAAGTTCTTTTTTTTTTTTTTTTGAGTAAAGTTTGGTCTAGTTCTATCAGGAGGAGAGAATTGCCAGTTCAAAAGCAATCTCACTTTAAACTGCAGGTGTACCAATCTATTTATGTATTATTTTATCTTAAAGTAATTTAGGCATTTATTTCTTCATTGCTCGGTTATTCTCATATCTAAAGAAATACCCTGGGTTATAATATGTGTAAATATAATTATTGCTTGGAAGACCACTAGGTACCTAATGGCATGCAATAAATATTTGATGAATTCATGAATTGACTGGTTATATTTTCATATATACCTATCATCTGATACTAATTTATTGTTTAAATAATTGTAACTACCAAAATGGATCCTACTTTTTTCTTTATTTTTTTCTAAGATGTGGAGCTATTTATGTGTTGATTCAAAAGAAAGTACAGTGACCATGAAATCACTTTGTAACTATATGGGTTGCAGACTGACATCATTTCATCATCAATATCTGTCTTGTGACATATTCTTTCTGTTCACAGTCTCATAGCTGGAAGGAGCACTCATTATGTTTGAACAAAGTTTCTGCCAGTCTCTCTAGAAGTGGTATACAAAGAGGAGAGTGATACACAAAACAGATTGTTTGGGGGGGAAATGTTAGGCTTTCAGTTTGTATTCTCTTACTATCTAAAAGGTAAGGAAGCTATTAAGTTTAACAAGATATAATGTGTGAACTGATAGGAGTACATTTTAATAATTTATTAAAATATATACATTTTTTGATATATTATATATTTTATTGATAAGGGTGCTTGAAAAATTGTGGAGGTTTGTTACAAATAACACGGAAAAATATCACATGTATTTATAGTTAAACATGAATTTAATTAGCACACTATCACCTGCAGAAAATAAATTTGCCTAGGTAGAAAACTTATGCCAAATTTGCACCTGGAAGTGGTTTTGATGAAGAATTTCACCACTGAGTAGTTTGAAAGTTTTCCTGCTGAGCCATTAAGAAACTTAGAGTCATAGAAGAAGTGGTAAATTTTCTGGAAAAATTGTGCAGAATACATTTACTGTTGGACTAGTGTGTCTGATGAGCCAAAATAACCTACCATATATGCTCTGTTTTACGAAAAACATCTTCCTGAAATGTTTTATGTAAATCATGTTATTTAAAATATAGAGGATCTTCCATAAAAGCATCTAAATATTTTTTAAAGTGAATATCCACCCTTATCTGCTCT